CCAAACAACCCAAAAATGGTTTTCAGGAAACCACTGATTTTTTTTTTTTTTTTTTTTAACTTTTGGAATAAAAGGAAATTAAAACCCTGAGCTTTTCTCCCCTGACACAAATTTTTCAGCCTCATGTTATCCCACATCTTCTGAGCAGCCCCAAAAAAGCTGCGAGAAATAACTTAAAAAACCTGGATTTGGAAGCAGGAATCTGCATCCAATAGATGGCATTATGGAATCCAATAGATTCCATAATTTACCTGGAATTCACTGAGTATTTTTATCTCATGAATAATAATAATTAAAGCTGCAAAGGGCCTGCCCTAATTATCCCAGAAGTCTTTTCAGTGCCCTCCAGCTCTGTTTTCCAGTGGAAGCTTATTATGGAAAGTGAGGAAACCAATGAATATTCCCCACCACGGAGTGAACCATCCTGGAATTTTGGGGAAATAACCCCTGGGCTTTCAGATCAGCTCCAGGTTTTCCTGACTAATCCAGCGGCATCCCATCATTCCCTGTAGGACCCTACACCCCTTAAGTCCTTCATTAAACTATTGATCCCCCTGGCGTTATCCATAATATTCCAGCGGCTCGGCACTTCCCTGGATGCAGGGCTCGCCGCTTCCCGGAGCTCCCAGGTTTTCTTTTCCGGGAAGGAATTCCCGGTGATTTATTTACCTGGCACTTCCCGGTGCGGATGTCGTAGAGCGCCACGGATCCGTGCCGGGCTCCCACGGCGATCCGGTGACTCCGCTCGTAATAACTGACCATGTAGAACCTGCAGGGGACAGGGAAACCACGGGAGAATCCATCTGGGATGCCACTGGATAATTAAGGAAGGGCTGGAGCAGGGATGTGATTTAGGAATCCGCCCGCTGCCGGTTTAATACCCGGCATTCCACAAAAACACCTGATTTTGATCCGTTACCGTGGAATCCGACTGAACTCTCAGATTGATTTATTTTTCCTACAGAATGTTGGGAATAATCCATGGGATAACCACCCGCATGCCCATGTGTGATCCACACTCTGTAAGCTGGAAGTCAAATGGTTAAACGACAATCCAACCCTTCGGGGCATTTCCCGGGAGAATCAAATGGGGAAAAGAAGGGAAGCGGAAAGAAAAAATCTGCCAACTCATCAATTTTTGATGGGCATACAGAAAAAAAAAAGGCATTCCCTAATCCAAGAATATCCTCGGGGTGAAGCCTGGCGTTGTCCTCAGTGCCCGGTGTGAGCGTGTGGGAGCAGCTGGAATTCCAACCGCTGCAAAATCCAAGGAATTTCCATACCTGGAAAGCCCAGAGCATCCAATTCCTTATTGCACATTGAAATCCTTGGGGATACCCCTGTGCCTTCCCTCACAAAGGCTGGGAAAATTCTGGCTGTGCTTCCGATCACAACTGGAATTTTATGGTGAAATTTTCCTGCACCAAAATCCGCAAGAAATCTCTGGAATTGATCCCTAAAAAACATGTGCCAAACAACCAATCTCCCAGTGATTTATCTCCCCACTCCTCAGCATTCCCAGAGTGCCATAGCAACTGTTCGCTCCTCCGGCGTGGGATGGGAGAAAACCGGGATGGAACATGGGAAAAAACCCATCGGGAATAAAAAGGAAGGAAGAAAATCCCTGGGTTTCGTGCGGGAAAAAGGGAAAAGCACTTCCATTTGGAATTTCTCCAGAGATTCCCCCCCGTTTGCTCCGACCTGATGGCAATTTTCCCTGGGCTCAACAATCCTGTCAGGGGGTGCTGGATCATTTTTATCCCGGCTATAAACAGGACATATTACAGGTAATGGCCAAGATTTTTAAAAATACTGCAGAGCTATAAATATACAACAGGAATAGGGAGGGTTTTTGCACTAATTCCCACTTATCCCTGCTTTTATGCTTTAAGGAAAGCCTTTTAAAGCATCATCACCTCCATCAGCGTCCAAGCTGGCAACGGGAGAACTGTTCTTTTCCTTGAAACTATTTAATATTTTAATAGCTGATTAAATTAGAACGTAACGGCCGACGGGTGATTATTGGAATTTATTGGTTAAAGAGGGGAACTGGGATATTTATCCAAGTTTAAAGATACTGGAAATGTGCCCGTTTGATAAATCACGTTTGACTCTTTGGTGTTTGACGGGCTCAGTGTCACCTGAAGGACCATTTCACATCCAGCGTTCCCGGAGGAAGAGCTTACCTGCAGATGGCCGGAAAACATTCCTGAAGGCCCTTCTTCTTCACTAAAGATCCTTCCAGGCAATACATGATGATGTCCATCACCTCGGAAACGACAATTGGAATCAGTTGGACAATATTTTCCGTTTCATAATTAAAGCTGTGAAGCTTTAATTCCACCAGTTCCACCCCCTGCCACCTTTCAGCAGAGCAGGTCACTCCAAGCCCTGTCCAACCTTCTCCTGGTCGGGATTCACTCACCTCCACCAGCAGGTCCACGACGTCCGTGGGCATCTTGTCGATGAGGATCTCGATGACCCGCAGGATCTCGCCCTTGGCCCGGGCCAGGGTGGTGGTGTGGATGTTCTGCTGCGACTGCGTGTTGGCCGCCAGCGCCGTGTGCCGGTGCACCTGCCGACAGCGGGGACGCGCCGTCGGAATCGCCGCGATCGGAAAAGACCCTCCCGACCCACGCCTGGCCTACACCAAACCCCATGGACAAGTCTCCACGCCATTAGAATTCCTACTTAGAGGGTCACGTGTGCATTGCTTGAAGCAAGCAGGGTTTTCCACAAATCTGGAAACTTTCTGTGACACTCTGGAAACTTCTACAACCAAATCGAGCTGGACTCGTCTCATGCTATAAATCCGGGGGGGTCGGATCTCTTTGGGCACCCCAACACTCCCTGGGGTGGAAGGGCTGGCTGCAGGTGCCCCTGGGCACCCCAACACCTCCTGGGGTGGAAGGGCTGGCTGCAGGTGCCCCTGGGCACCCCAACACCTCCTGGGGTGGAAGGGCCGGCTGCCGGTGCCCGCTCAACCCCTT